ATCAGGATTTCTACGCTTTAGGAAGTTTAGGAAGACTTCACGTTTGAGCGCCGAGCGAAGTGAGTTAACGTTAATTAGAATAATCTTAAGATCATTCATACAAAACGAACTCGAAAACTTTTCGCGTGAGGAAGGCCTTACGATCTTCATGCGAGGTAAGAGTAGAAAATTGCTGCTTGATGCTCAAAGCAAACGAAAGCATAGATTCAATATCAGGCATACCAATGGTGGCGGGGATGCCTGGGGATTTGGAAAGGATATTGGAAGTGGGGGGAGGATGGGATTGGCCATGGATTGGCGGCCGGACAGCCGTCGCAGAAGTGCGCGGGGGAACGCCGAAGCCTGCAGCCATAGAGGCAAAGGAAGTATCGGGCCTAACAAAGTTGGTTGTGTGACGGTTGGAGATTTTAGCCGCTGAAGCTTTGGATTTGGCTTCACGAGAGGCACGGAGCTCTTTAAATTTGGAGCACCTATAGTTGGCTGGGTGGCCAGTTTGACCGCAGTTGCAACATTTAGGAAGAGTTTCTGGGACTTGTTGCTTAGTCACTGGGTCGAATGCTTTAGGTGGGAGGGTGCAAGCACCTTTGGAATGCGGACCACCACAACGGACACAACGAGAAGGGAAGTTGCAGTATCTGGAGGTATGGTAGTACCGCTGACAGTTAGAGCACTGGGGCGCATTTAAATGAGCTTTACGCTCGAACTTAATAATTAAATTAAGAGAAGGAAGCTTATTAATGCTAAGCAGCATTGGAAGATCCATACCAGGAGCTGGGTGGAGCTCCCAGATGGAGGAATTGGAATATCTTTCAGGGTGCTTGGCTAAAAAGCGCCACACACTTGTATATGGTATTATATATTTTAATTATATTTTAAATTAATTTTCTTGTATTTCCGGTCTGTCTGTCTGCATACCTCCTGTTCCTATGGATGTGGAGGGTGTAGGTTCAAATAGCGCCAGTAGCTCTGAATCGGAGCCTGACTCCACTATTAAACGGCGCAAAACATCTTCGCCTAAAAAAGATAAAAAAAACATCAGCTACAAAAAAAAATTTTTAGTCCTTTCTAAAAGGTTCAATGAAATTGAAAAGCTTTATCAAGCTATTTTGCATGAAAATGCATCTCTAAAACAAATGCTTCACGCTGATTACTCTAGTGATCTAGAAGTTGATCCTCAAGAAGAAGAGATCAGTACTCCATCTGGCCTATCGGCTGCTACAGCCACTCCCGCCTCTTCTGATGCTGCTTTCGCAGCAAATTTCCCAGCTCTTCCAGTGCCCAAATCTAATGGTATTTTAACTAATGCTCCCATTCTTACTACTACGACATCTGCCGTTCGTCTTGCTTCCTCGCGCCCTTTGCCAGCGGCTGCCAAAGCTGGTGGCAACACGGCCATTCCTCCCCCTTCAAGTATGCCAACTAGTGGCAAAACTCCCCCAGCTATCACTGTTCGTGATGTTAATATTAAAGAACTTCGCAGCAGCATCAAAGCTGCTCTTCCTAACTCTGCATACGAGTGCAAAGCCATTAATGGTAAAACTTTTCGTATCCTTACTAAATGTAAAGATACATTTTACAAAATAAACGCGGTCCTTAAAGACCTCAAAATTCCAAGTTTCGCTCCCATTCCCTCAGAAGACAAGATAACCCCTGTTCTTCTGAAAAATTTCCCTTCCTCATTTGATGAGGAAGATCTCAAGGCAGCATTAGCTGTAGATTTACCTCAGTTCAGCTTCACTCGTGTTGCTAAATTTAGGCCTCCAGGGCGCTTCATAGCTAAGAATCCTGAGAGATATAATAACTCCACAATTTGGGAACTTCACCCAGCCCCTAATATGGACCTTCTTATGCTGCTTAGCATCACCAAGCTTCCATCATTAAATCTTATTGTCAAATTTGAGCGCAAAGCTCATCTTGAAGCGCCTCAGTGCTCAAACTGCCAGCGGTACTTCCATACCGCCAAATTCTACAACTTTCCCTCTCGTTGCGTCCGTTGTGGTGGCTCGCATTCTAAAGGGGCTTGCACCCTTCCGCCTAAAGCCTTTGATCCAGTAACAAAGCAACAAATCCCGGAGACCCTTCCCAAATGCTGTAACTGTGGTCAGACTGGCCACCCAGCAAATTACAGGTGCTCTAAATTTAAAGAGCTTCGTGCTTCTCGCAATGCCAAATCTAAAGCCTCAACGGCTGAAACCCCTAACCGTCTTCCGACTAATTTTGTTAAGCCTGGTTCCTCTTTTGCTTCTATGGCTGCGATTTCTAGTGCTCCTCCGCGCACTGTTGCGTCCTCTGCGTCCGCTGCTCAGCCTCTCAATCCAAAAAAAATTTCCCACCCTGCTCCAATTAATAGCTCTCATAAATCCCCTGGCACTTCAGCCGCAAATATTGGCTCTCATATGCCTGATATTGAATCATTGTTTTCGTTTGCTTTAAGTATTAAGCAACAATTTTCCACTCTCACCTCACAAGTAGAGCGTAAGGCCTTCCTCACTCGTAAAGTATTTGAATTCGTTTTATATGAATAATCTTAAGATTATTCTTATAAACGTAAACTCTCTCCGCTCAGAGCTTAAGCGTGAAGTTTTTCAAAACTTTCTTACGCATAGTAAGCCTGATGTTCTCCTTGCTGTTGAAACCAGAATCAATCCTGGTTTCACTCTTACTTTCTCTGGTTACAATGTCGTCCGTTTCGATAGGGTTGGTCCTGGTGGAGGGGTTGCAATCCTTCTTAAGGCAACATACGCTTTTTCCGAACATCGTATTCCTCAACTCTCCTCATTTGAAGCTTGCGGTATCACTCTTCTCCTCGAAAATAACTTTAATGTTGATTTATTCTGCGTGTATTACACGCCCTCTATATCCCAATCTATTGACCCTAATGACCTCACTAAATTAATAAACCTTTCTTCAAATCCATTTGTTATTGGAGGTGACTTCAATAGTAAACACTACTTTTGGAATAACGCTCAAAACTGCATTAATGGTACCAGATTATACAACTGGTATATAAGCAATTGTATTAACCTCAATATTAATCTTGTTGCCCCCAACGCGCCAACACGCTTCAATGCGACACTCGACTTTTTCTTCACTGACAACTGTCTCTCCGACATGATTGGAAATACTTCAGTGGCGTTGCTGACTATCAGGCTGTTGTTTTACCTCTCACAGGCTGTAGAACCCTCCTATCTGCCCCTCGTACGTATTTAAATTTCGCTGCCACCTGCTGGGACAGCTTCAATTCCACTCTTGACAGAATGATTTCCTCCCTTGACCTTCCTGTAAATAGGAACCTATCACCTAATGAAATTGACTGTGTCACTTCACAACTTGAGAGCATTCTTTCTGCAACTATTGAAGAGCATGTCCCACTGACCCTTCTTAAAAAATGCTACCAGGTTCCTCTTGATCCTCTTACTGTTAATCTAATCCAACGTCGCAAAGTTCTTCGCCGTAGGCTATATCGCCTCAGGCAAACTAACTCTCCTCGATTTCAGCTCATGCGAGCTATAATTTCCACTCTTGATAATATCCTTACCCAAAGGATCAAGTTGGCTAGAAATAATCATTTCAATGCCTTAGTTCGTTCTGCTAAATGCGACTCTGATGTCTTCAAAAAAGTTAAGCAGATCTGTGGCATTAAAAAAAGTCACTCCTGACATCACCATCAATAACAGAAGTTTTTCTGATGACTCAACCAAAGCCAATATATTTGGCGAAACCTTTGAGCTTTATCATAAGGTCTCCCTCGGTGATGGAAATCCAAATTTCAATGCAACGGTCTGCAATTTTGTCCGAGACCATTACGAAAACTTCGGACAAAGCATTACTAACTTCAGCACCAGCTACCCAGCCAACAGTACTAATACTCTTGACCCAAACGGGTTCATTACTCCATCAGGTCTCTTCACCATCCTTAAGTCCAAAAGACCTAAAAAATCTTCTGGACTGGATAGAATCTCCAACCACGCTATGCGAAATCTGTCTCCTCTCTTCTTTTGCACATGTGCGATTATCTTTAACCACTCTTACAACATTGGTCACTTTCCCAGGCCTTGGAAGAGAGCCATTGTCATACCTGTCCATAAAAGCGGTAAGCCTCATACTCTCCCCTCAAGCTACCGTCCCATTTCCTTACTTAGCTCACTAAGTAAACTTTATGAATCATTCATTGGTAGTCAACTTAAGTCCCACATAACAGAAAAACGACTTCTCCCGAACTTCCAATTTGGTTTTCGTAACAAAACCTCAACCACAGACGCGCTTAGTATTTTCCAAAGTGATATCTGTGTAGGTCTCTATAACTCTCAACCCACCGTGGCTGTGAGCCTAGATATTGAGAAAGCTTTTGATACTGTTTGGATTGAAGGCCTTGTCTACAAGCTCCACCAATTCAATTTCCCCCCGCTCCTTTGTAGCATTGTCTACCAATTTGTGTCAGGAAGAAAATTTATGGTTCGTGTTGGTTCTAGCCTTTCTAGGGAATTCCTTGTAGCAGCTGGTGTCCCTCAGGGTTCTGTACTTGGTCCCATACTCTTTAACATCTACACTTCAGACATTCCTATCCCTCCCCCAAATGTCAAGCAGCTCTGCTTTGCAGATGACTATCTAATATACTCCAAATCGTCTTATACTCCCAGGGTCTCTAACTCCTTAAACCAGCATTTAGGAAATCTTTCTTGCTTTTATCATAAGTGGAAGCTCAAATTAAACCCCCTCAAAGTCTCTGCCATTGCCTTCACTGGCTATGCACGAAATCGTCCAAGCAGTTATAACCCCTCTAACATTAAGCTTAAACTTAATGGGACCCCCATTAAACTTGTTGACAAGTTTAAGTACCTCGGAGTTATGTTCTCTCCCAAACATAACTTCATTCCCCACATCGATTATATTGTCAAGAATGTGTCCTTCCGCCATATGAGCCTTAAAAATGCGTTAAGACGCCACAACCAGCTAAATATTCAAGCAAAACTCTTGTGCTATAAACAACTCATTCGCCCTCTTTCCACCTACTCCTTTCCCATCTGGTCAGGTATCTCCTCGGCTCAAATGGAACGCCTACGTGCGTTAGAAAGAAAAATTCTCCGCGACTGTATAAATTACAAGCGCAAGCCTAATGGCAAACATCACCGTATAAATTTTGTTTACAAATCCGCCAATATCGAGCGGCTTGACGATTATCTATTGTCCCAAGCTCGTCGATACTTTACTAGGGCCCATAACCTCCCCCCCGACGTTCTGAGATCTGATCAGCTACCAACTGATCTGTTACTCGCTATGAGGCATAAACCTCCCCAGTTCCTATCCCTCCTCCTGGACGACATTGCCCAATCTCCCCCTGTAATCCCGTTTTACAACCGTGGTTACAGTAATCCCCTTCAACGTGTGTACTTATAAATAGCCCCTCAAACTCAATTTAAGTAGTATTCCGTCTCACCGTTTTCATTCTTCAAATTTCATGGCTTAGATATATTTACTATTGTAAATGTTAAGCCTTACTAGTAATTGTTTTCACTCCAATCGTTGAAACTGGAATGGGGTTCCTAGTCCTGGACCTTCACGGTCCCTTGCTTGGAATCTATTCTCTATGCATTCCTAAGAGGTGGTTTTAGTGGGTTCAAGTCTCACACTGTGGCTTTTGATGCTTTCCCCCTACTGCAAAAAAAAAAAAAAAAAATCCAAATCGACGATTAAAATTTAAAATCAGAAATCATGCCACCAAAAACTAGCGGAAAAGCAGCCAAAAAAGATGGAAAGGCTCAGAAAAATATAACCAAAAACGATAAGAAGAAGAAGCGCAGGAGGAAGGAGAGCTATGCTATCTACATTTATAAAGTGTTAAAGCAAGTCCACCCCGATACTGGTATATCATCGAAAGCCATGAGCATCATGAACAGCTTCGTGAATGACATATTCGAACGTATTGCTGCTGAGGCTTCGCGCTTAGCACACTACAATAAGCGCTCCACCATTACTAGTCGGGAGATTCAAACTGCTGTTCGTCTTTTACTTCCCGGTGAACTGGCTAAGCACGCAGTTAGTGAAGGAACAAAAGCTGTCACTAAGTATACTAGTTCCAAGTAAATTGCGTTATATCAAACAAACACCACTTATTCAAAAGGCCCTTTTCAGGGCCACAAAAATATTCAATTGAGTTGATAATTTATCTATATTATAAATATGTATAGAGCCCTGAAATTATTTACGAAAACTGACAGGCTTATTAACACCGCGTTATTGAATCTCAGAATGGTTACAAGCTCCTCGGGGAGGTATGCAGATCTGATAAAGTTATAAACAATAATCCAGACAAGGCGTAAAGAGGGGTTAAGAAGAAACCTCGTAGTTAATAGAAAGTAAAAGTGCTCAAGTGCACTGACTCAACTAGCCTCAACATAATAATAATATAAATATGATATATATTTTGTTTTTGATATTTCTTTTAAAAGGCTACTGATAGAAGAAAAAAATAAAAAAAAACTTTGACAGTCTCTTCATGAATTATCAGCTATCGTTTGGTTGTTAGTGAATAAATGATTCAATCAACAAATTAATTTCTGTCGGTTTTGAGGATCTTACAGTTTTTTAATCATGGATAATATAACCTGCTAAATAGAGTTAACTCTTGAATTAACGAGTCTTAATCCTTATCATCAGTCTTAGTACTATCATCGCTTTTAAATTGATATATTCTATATTTACATTCGTGCTTTAAATTTGAAAACATAAATATAGTATTTGTTCCTTGTCATTCATTCTATGATACCATACAATTTCATGGGATAGATAAGCTCTTTTACAACTCATTCCTTAAGCGTTCTTTTAGTAAGTTCAAGTCTTACATTATGGCTTCTGATGCTTTCTGCTTACAGCAAAAGAAAAATAAAATATATTGATTCAATTAAATGTTATGACGTGAAACATTCTATGTCTAATGATACACTATATGATACTAATAATAGTATACATATGATGCTAATATTATACATATTAATATATGTTATGCTACTTCTAATAGCAATGTCTATACTATATCTATATGATATAATTTATCATTATCTCTTTTCTTTGAATAAACTTACTATGCAACAATTGCATTTACATTTTGCTTATTTTATTTTCGTAGTCAAAAATAAGCAATTGAAAATAGTTAAGCAATTTCAAACCCTGGATAAGTCATGTCATTTATTTATCTCTTTTCTTTATATAATTTTGGTCCTGAAAAGGACCGATTTTTGTATATTTATAAAATTATATTGCTTCCAATCTTAAGCACGTTCTCCACGAATACGTCTAGCCAATTGAATATCTTTTGGCATAATTGTAACGCGTTTGGCATGAATTGCGCATAAGTTAGTATCTTCAAAAAGACCCACTAAGTATGCTTCGCTAGCTTCTTGAAGAGCCATTACAGCAGAACTCTGGAAACGTAAATCAGTTTTGAAATCTTGTGCAATTTCACGGACCAAACGCTGGAATGGCAATTTGCGAATCAAGAGTTCAGTACTCTTTTGGTAGCGACGAATTTCACGTAAAGCTACAGTTCCTGGACGATAACGATGTGGTTTTTTCACACCTCCAGTAGCTGGTGCACTTTTACGTGCGGCTTTGGTAGCCAATTGTTTTCGTGGTGCCTTCCCACCAGTCGATTTACGAGCAGTTTGCTTTGTACGAGCCATAATTTATGAGATATGTTACAATATGGTATTTTAAAAAATAGCGCAATTGAATAGCTCAATTTTCTCATCATACCTGGATGTTCTGTTTCAACTATTCACATGTTTTAACATTCATTGTTTCTCATATTGCTTATTCTTTTTGTTTTGTTTTGTTTTGTTTTGTTTTGTTTTGTTTTGTTTTGTTTTGTTTTGTTTTGTTTTGTTTTGTTTTGTTTTGTTTTGTTTTGTTT